CGGTAATTATCTACTATCTCTCTAGATCCTTTGTTTTTGAAAATTGGTATAGATTTAGAGACCTTTAGAATCAATGGGTACTGTCCTGACAAAAACCTTGTGATCTTGGCCTACACCAGCCCGATAATTGTGTATTTTGAAAAAGAATGATTCTGAGAAACACCTAGTACCAAATACTTCAAAGCTAAGTCCTTCAATATAGATCAATTTTCCAGATAGCTCTATATTGAAGGAGTTAGTGGCTTTAGTTTATTATTGGAAGTTTTTCCTGATACCAGAGTTAAATAAAACATATGAGAATTCATTAATGAGTGATGGTGTGTTACTGGAAGGTATTTTTCTATTCTACCTAGTAAACCAATGGCGAAAGAAATTTTCTTACCAGATGACTTGAGTTTTGAGTTCATATACAAACCTAGATGACGTCTTTCTGATGTCTTTTCAAATATCCAACTAATTTGACTTTTGGCTATTAAGAGTTAAATCAAATCACTTTATTCGTCCTGTAGAACTTACACAGTTATAGGATAGGTCAAATAGNGTGTAATTTATGTCTTGTTTACTTTATATTAATTCATGATCACTTGAATGAAATGAATAAAAACCAACTAAACTAAATACCACTGGTAGATTTTATTTATAGGACTGGTTTCGGGTATAATGGGGTCAAACCTGAAACCCGTCCTATAAATAAAATCTACCAGTGGTATTTAGACAAAAGTGTTTTTATTCATTTCATTTAAGTGACCCTTTATATTGTTAGTTATTTTCATAGCATAACTTTCAATATTGTCTACCCAAACCCACTCAAACATTATTATGATACACCCTGAGAATAATATGGATAGTATAATATATTTCTGAAATTCTCTTTTTTATTTGGATCTTTGTTGTGTGCTGAGGTGTTACTACGTTGACTGTCTTTGTCAAATTTTTTATTTTCATTCGTGATCAGTAAATACTAATCTTCATTTCATACGGATCAATCGCAAAGGAAGAATAATCCACAAATTGGGGAATTGCTGAAATATGTTTAAAAAAATGTTAAATATTTTTCCGTTAACCACCTGTTTCCCACTTATGAATGACAGCCCTAAGAAGTTGAAACTTGTGTTAACTGAGGATTCAGATTTTACCTTTTGACATGCAATTTCTAGCTCAGGTCAGACGATATGGAGTGAACATTTATCACCCTACAATTGGGATCAAACCAAAGAACCAAAGTTCACATTGGGGTTCATTGATTAGTAAAACGAATCCCTAATGCTAAAAATATGTTACCTGAATATTTAAAATATTTGGGAACTCTTTTCTATTCTGCTGATAACTGATAACATGTTTTTCAGCACCTATTATAACGGAAAAAACCACTTTACAATTGGAAGATATCATTCGGCAAAGAATAAAGGACAAAGTTTTTGACAGTGTAGTAAGAAAAGCGAAACCGATTGAAACTCCACTGGAATTTAAAAAGAAATTGGTATTAGATCAGGAAAAAAGCAAACACTCCTTGGCTCAGATTTATGAAAAAGAGTATCTCGAAAAAGAGGCAGCTCTGGACCCTTCGTCCGCTGATAAGGAAGAGGAAGAACCTGAATTACACAAGGAAGTGAGAAAAATGATGAAAGAATTATTCAATAAATTGGATGCTCTTTCAAACTTCCACTTCACCCCAAAACCAGCAGTTCCAGAGCTTCGAATTGTCAACAATCTACCTGCCATCAGTATGGAGGAAGTTGCACCTGTAACTGCAAGTGATGCCGCTCTACTTGCTCCAGAAGAAATTTGTAACAAACCAAAGGGAGATCTCATAGGTAAATATTTTAAATTCATTTGGTGTACTAAATAAAAATAATTGTTTTATTTAGGTAAAACAGAGAGAACACGGGCTGACAAAAATCGCGAAAGGAGAAAAAAGAAACAAAAACAAAGGGCTCATCTCAAAAATAAGCAGATCAACAAGAATATGCTTGTAAAGGAAAAAACTCTCAAAGGAAAGAAAGGATTTGATAAACCATCTAAAAACAGCAATATTGAAAAGGTAAATACTGAAAAATCAGTAATTTCAACAAAATTTTAAATTTTTATTTTGTTATTCCAGATGGACGAAACTTCAAAGAAAATCAAATCATCGAAATCATTTTTCTCTGAACTTCAACAACAAGTTCAGAGTCAAATAAGTGAAAAAGTTGCTGACAAAAAAAGGAAAAAGAGCACAAATCAGTTGGAAGCAAAGAGGCTCAAACTTTAGATTTGTTGTGTACATGTTTTTTTATTATATTGTTAGATTCAATATATAAACTGAATTATTTCTACCCATCAGGAACAACCCATTCATCAAAAAATGCATGTATTATGAAATTTGGTAAGTAATGTAATGACTATACAAGAATAAGTTCATACTCGAGAACCAAAATTGATAATGTTTTTACAAATGTACAGGCGATCTCTTCAGTAGTAGACACCTATTTTTGATCACGGATTTATTATTACCTCCGTTTATAAATCACTGTTGAACCTCGCTCCGACAGAAAAATCTTTTAGGTACAAAATAATATATTCCAAAAACAATAAGCAGTACATGGCAGGATTACTCGATTCTCAAAAGTGGGTCTCTATGATGCAAAATCCTGCGATGACAAATATAAAAACATGAACATGAACATCTTATTGAGAACGTTGAAAAGTTACACTTCAGTAATGTAATCCAACATTCCAAAAATCCCACGTGAAGTTTCTGCAGATATGCCCAATAGAACCTTACAATCCATGGTGCTACTGCCATTCACAGAAAATGATATGATCCACATCTTTGCGAAACTCAAAAACAAACACTCCGCGGGACCCGACGACCTCCCTTGCAATGTAATCAAAGAATTCAACTCATTTCTATAATCACTGGTCACCCATATTGTGAACTTTTCTTTCGAGACAGGCACAGTCCCTACTCAACTCAAAACATCAAAAGTTATAACTGTGCACAAAAAAAACTGTAGAAATAAATTGGATAATTATAGGCTAATCCCTTCAACACCATCATTTTTCAAAGTGTTTGCATATTGCATGCTAGAAAGACTCGATACTTTCATAGAGAAATTCAATCTAATACCAACCGAACAGCATGTTTTTGGTATCTAAAGAATCTTATGATTCAAATGAACAAGCTGGTATTTATTTGATGCATAAAATTGCAAAATGGTTTTCAAAAAATAGGCTGTATATAAACCCAGCCAAAACAGGATTTCTTATCTTCCATACAAGACGAAAAAAAATTGAAAATATCAACCTGACCTTAAACAACACTAACGTGAACCGTAATACCTCTGTTAAGTTTTTAGGTCTGAATATAAATGATAAATTAAATTGGGAAACCCACGTACCTACTCTAATAAAAAATATTAACTCCATAATATTTCAAATACGCTGTATGCATAAGGTCCTGACAACTCCAGTAATGAAAAATTTCTATTTTGCAGCAATTCAGTCGAGACTGGCATACGGAATCATAGTATGGGGACAATCACCTGCTGCCAAACGTCTCTTCATTACACAGAAAAAGTGCATTCGTGCCATGTTTTGCAAACCCCAAACAGAATCTAGTAGACTTCTCTTTAGGAAGCTACGAGTATTACCCCTAATTTCTCTTTACATATTGGAAACTGCTTGTTACATTTACAAACATAGAAATACTTTGCTCTGTCGTAATGACATTCACGGTCCTTACACCAGGAATCGGCATTTGCTGAATACTCCTCTAAACAGATTGAACCTATCACAAAACGGTCCTCTAAGCATCGGAATTTGAATTTTTAATAAAATTTCTCAAAACATCAAAGATGAACCTACCTATTTCAGATTCAAGAAGTCACTGAAAAAAGTACTAATTGAGGGTGCATTCTATACTTTGGAAGAATTTTTCAGTATATAAATCACTGATAGTATATTCTGTCATACTTTGTGTAATTGCATATTTCATCTCGATATTTAAATTGTAGTGTACCTACTCTGTCTGTACTTGTACTTATCATTTTAACATTTTAGTTTTTACTCTGTAATTTTGCTTTTTGTCTCTATAATCCAAATTTTTGACGTCTTATACCACTTGTGGTCTTCAGATTAATAATAAATTTGATTTGATTTGAAGTTTGCATCATCAGGAGAGACTAGAACTGTTTTAGTCAGGTTAACTATAATTGAAAAAACCACTGATTCTGTGACGATAACATATTACAAATTTCCATTTAAAATCAAGAAATCCAAAAGTATAAATAAATCCAGAAAAGAAAATGCAAATATTGATAATAGAACTGAAACCATATAATATTTGTGATTACTAGAACCAATCTGAATAGATATTCATTTATCTGTGAAATTATTTTACAAAATGTATATAGCTATAAGTACCTACATGATTGGGTCCCTAATATGCATAAATGTACAAGTTGAATGGGCCAGAATAGTTTTCAATTAAAGATATTATTATTATCAGTTCAGTGTTTTGATCTTTCAATAGGTAGAAAGAGACAGGCAGCGTTTGGAATACCAGGAGAATCTTTTCAGAAGGAAATCATCTTTCGAGAATTTTGACAAGGTATCGAGCGAAATAAAGACACGTTCTCAAATGAATGAGGATGCATTTAAGGCCATGAATGTTTCAAAAAGAGAATCTTTCGTGGGAAACCCAGTAATCACAAGTCTCGAAAATCAGGAAATGACAAGAAGAAGTATATCTCAAGATTTGAACAAATCTTTCATGAGAAATTCCGTCAATGATCCACCTGTTGAACATTGCATGCCAAATATCTCCTACCTCCCAAACGGTGTGCCTTGTCCCCAAAATTTTGGTTTTCCAAATCGGTATCAGTTTGATTACTATGGAAATTATATCCAGCCTCAAAGTACTATGCCTAGAAGTGGAGATTTTCAACAATTTCATCCACCAAATGACAAAGAGTATGTTATGAATAAGTTCTTACATTCATTGAGTCAATAAAATATGTTCAAAATTCCGTAACATTCAAAATGTTCATTTGTTTAATTTATATACTTTCAGTGAAAATTAATGATATTCAAAATTATTGATATTCTTCAAAATGTTTGTTTGTTTATTTCATTTTGTTACTTAAATTAGAAATAAGTGTATTTATTTGTTAACAATTGTACTATCTAAAGTAAATAAAATTAACAAAAAAAAACTTTTGAGTTCTTTTTTCAAAGTAATTAACGTTATCATTTCATGCAGAAAATATTTTGTGAAACGTAGATATTGATAATATAGTTGTAAAACCATGCAAGTTCCAAGTGAAACAGCATAATTATTTTTTAAATATTTGTTGATATAGAAATGATTTTTTGAGATGTTGCCTTCAAATAGTGAGTTTTCATTATTATTGTTTTTCCGTGAATGACTTTTCACGAAAATCCTAATTTGGATGATTTTGAAATTGAACCAAAACTTAGTGTCTCCTCTTACCACATTTCAATTTTAACCAATCTTGATGTAAAGAAAGGTCCAGGTCTTAACATTATTCCATCCATTTTACTCAGAAATTGCAGCTTCGTTTTGTCTCGCCCTCTCTTCTATATTCTCAATAAATCTATCAAGTTAGCCGTTTTTCCGGATTATTGGAAACAATCTTTTGCAACCCCAATATACAAATAAGGTACTAAGTCAGACGTTAATAATTACCGACCGATATCTATTCTTAGTATAATTCCCAAGATATTCAAGAACATTCTGGCAGATTACCTTACCTATAATTGCTCTGGCATCATAACAACAATTTGTTTTTGTGCTGGGAAATCGACTGAATGAAACCTAGTTACCTATTTCCACTTCCTGCCGGAATCTTTGGAGAAGGGCTGCCACATTGATATAAATAACCAATGAAAGAAATGATATTTATTGTTGTAGTCGACTACATATGTAGCCACTTCAGTAATTTCTAGCAGAATAACCCTCGAATGTCACGTTCGATGGCTTACACTGGAAGTTATCCGAAAATTCAGCTTACTTTCATATTTCCATTTCCAAAACTTTCGCCTTAGCAATGACGATCAGCTATGATACACTTCCAGTTGGTGGAAGTACAGTTTTTACCTGCCAAAAGAATTGTAAGTGGTTTCTTTTCAGTTTTCTCATTTTTTCGTAAGGTTCATTATGAACAAAAGATAATTGAAACTTTCTATGTTTTTTACCANAAAACATAGAAAGTTTCAATTCTCTTTTCTTCATTACGATTTCCTACCACGTAGTAACGGCTACATCTCTCAATTTAGTGAGGTTCATTTTATTTCTTGATCACCAGTTGATTTTAAAATATGTTTCGCTGTTTGTTTCTTCTTACATTTAAGGGTCTTAAAGTTTCATCTCTTCAATTTTCCACATTAATAAGGTATATACTTAAAATACATTTCATGTTTTCATCACTGTTTTCGGGTTGTGCTAAAAAAGATATCAGTGTATCTATAAACTGATAAAACTGAAAATTATGAATTATTAAATATGAATTATTAAAAAATTCAAGTTGAATATATTTCTGGTACAACCCTCTTTAATCAGTGTGGGCAAATGATTATAAAAGTTTATGACTTGAAAATGCAGCCCTTTTACTGTGTTTGTTAGTCTATTAGATATTAGTCTTGTAGAATATTCATGATCGAGTTTATAATTCTCAGAATTTTCATTAATTATCATGCATAAACCTTAACACACGTACGTGTTCGGATAGGTTTCCGCGATCAGTAGTATGTTGTCATTGAGTTTGGGTTGAACTACGTCTGGAGTTTTGTATTCGACGTTTCGGCTCCCATTTTGGAGCCATTTTCAAAAATTTGATGTGACTTGACGCCGGGGCCTCAATCTGCCTACTCCCCAGGTCTCATCATGAGTTCTCTCTAAGGTGTCAATCTGCCTACTCCTTCAATTCAATCTAAGGAGTAGTTTTGCCTTTTGGAACAGAGCTCCTACATTACAACTAACTAAATTCTTTTTTGTAAGACAGAATAACTTGGATCAATGAAACCTCTCATCAAAATAAAGGAGTAAGTTTATTTCCAGGGTTTCCCCGGCAGCTGAAAAGCGAATGCGCCATATGATGAATGACATCGTGGATTACTTAAGCGGCTCTTTTACATTTTTAATTTTACCGTTTTTATGATCTTTTTAAAGCACGCGCTTTAGTTTTTGAAACTGGAGTTATTCGTTTCTTTCGACTTCTCATAAGCTGTCCTTATTGCCCACATTGATTTCAATAGATATATGTACTCGTATATCCAACATTATCCACAATCACACGTGTATTGGATAGTTCATCGTCCAGATACGACATATACCGCGTTTATTATAAACATGAGAAATTGATGAATGAGTAAAATACATTACTTTTACGTAAAGCAGAAGAAACCCCAATACAGGTGACATGACTTAGATTAAATATGTCTGGTAGGTGTTGTATCTGGACGATGAACTTCTCAGGGTTACTACTACAGGGGAAATTCCCAAGAAATACGAGCCAAAATCATCTGAGAAGAAGATACATGATATGAGAAGAATTAACCTAAAATATTAGTACTGAAAAAGTAAAGATTATTCGTGTTTGATATTAACATGTCTATAGTATTTGATTTTTTATTCTAAAACCTGAGCAAAACAATAGAAAATGGAAGAAATTGGGCAGCTTGATGTGGTTTTGGAAGGCTTTCAACAAATAACTAAGAAACCTGAATCATTTTTGAAGTAATAATACCATAATTTATCCAATATAAACTACAACATACATTTTTGTTTCAGCTGTGATGACTCTGTTGCAGGTACTATTAAAAACAATATGAAACAAAACTATGATTTTACAAAAATAGAAGAAATACAGGTGTTATCTGGCGCCTTACCTGAATTACTTATCAAGAATTTTGATATAGAACAAATCTGGCAGGAACTTGAATTACAGAATGATAGTATACTTAAAAAATCTTTAAAAAATATAAGTAGGTTACTTGTTCACAAAGATAAATTATTGTTCTCAACTTTACAAAATGAGGTCAATGATATTTCCAATCAAGACAATCTAGTTGAAAATGCATCAAGTAATGCCGAAACACAAAACGAGTCAGAAATTGAAAATTCAGACCCACTTAAAGAACAGGAAAGTGATGATCAGTCACATGAAAGTACTGAAAATGAAATGGATTTAGGAGACATCGAATCTGAGGAAGAAAACACAGAGAATACAAAAAAAGTTAGCAAAAAGAAAAAATCTGAAGTCGAAGATGACTTTTTCAAACTTGATGAAATGGAGAACTTTCTGAACTCTGAAGAGAAGAAAATGGATGAAACGGATTCTGGAAATAATTCCGATGATTCTGAATCTGAGAAAGAAGGAAGTATAGATTTCTTTGAAAATGAATCAGAAGAGGACGATAAAATGAAAACAGCACGATTCAAAGATTTTTTTCGTTCAAATGAAGAAAGTGAAAAACCAAAAAGAAACAAGTTTCTAGATGATATGAGTGAAACTGAAGATGCACAAACTAAATCAACTCTTGAGTTACGTCAAGAAAGATTGAAAAAAAGGATAGATGACTTTGAGGAGGCTGCCATCAGTGAGAAACCTTGGCCCTTGAAGGGTGAAATTGTAGCTGAGAATCGGCCTGTGAATTCTCTTTTAGAGGAAGTCCTGGAGTTTGATTTGACATCAAGACCAGGTGGGTCATTTTCATTCATTACCAGTTGGGATTTTTATTTACTCTTTATCAATGACCATAATTGTTGAGAATAATTAAGTGGTGGGTGGGTTTTATATTTCATTGTTATTATTCCTTTCATATTTATCAATTTCATTAATTGAAATGATAAAAATAATTCAGATATTTGAACTATTCCATTGATTAGAGATTCTAGTCAAAAATAAAACACAGCTAACACTGAACCCTTATCGAATATAGTCAATCTTAAACTGTACCGCAGAAATTTTATATGGTGCCATTCAATGAGAAAGGATTGAGTTGAAAGAATTGACACAAATTCAGTAGTGCCAATAATGAAATATATAACCCGGCTACCATTTTATCATTATTGAATAGGTTCCTTCAGAAAAGGGATACATTTTGTTATAATGTTGGCTACACTTGATATTGAATTTATCATGAACTCTTGAATGTAATGTGAAATTGTTATAATTTTATTTATTCTATCAGCCAAATAGTAACAATTACGCTGTATTGAAACTACAAACGACAATTCGAAAATGAAAATACAATTAAATTTTTGACAAAAGATAGCCAATCATACAGAGTTGGGTCAGATACAAGAAAAGGGGATCCGATTATTTGATACGGATACTTTCACCTAAAAATGTACTCGGACACAAGTATTCGGATACTTTTTTTGGATACCTTCACGGATACTTTTAGAGTTAGTGAAAATAGTGTTTTAATGTATACAAATAAAAATACTAGGGATGAATATCAAAAACAAAAAGCGATAAAAAAAGATAGGAAATAAAAGAAACTCAAAAAACTGTTTATATTTATTTTGTAAACTAAGAACATTTCAGTGAAAAAAATATATTTTTAGATTTTACCACATTGTTTGCTAGATGTGACATTTATATCTATAATAGTACCTTTGAGTTTGAATTTGCCTTCGTCAGTACCAATACCTCAAAGTGTTCATCACTTAAATTTTTTCTCTTTGGCGTATCAATCATAGTTGCAAAAGAGAAAAGTCTTTCTACTGGTGCTGAAGAAGGTAAGCATGTATTATACTTGAGTGACACTTTTTTTCAATATTGGGTATTCATGTAATACTTGTAAATTCGTTCTTTTGTTTTCCAGTTATCTTAATAATTCCAGCTGAATTTTTGTAGTTTTATTGCTACTTTCACTGGTACCCTCAGTACCCTGTTCTTTCATAGTACTACTACTGCCTACAGTGCCTACTTCTTGGTTATCTTGGTAATCCGTGAAATCAAAAAAGTCGTCCACATTTTGGTCCCCGCTTTCATCTGATTCATTGTAAGATTCATATTCCATCTGTTTTTTTTGCAACATTTATTATACATTTTTTAATATCTTCCCAAGATTTTTTTGATTTTTCACAATGTTATACCATTTTAGTTTGAATTTGGGAAGCAGAACTGCTGCTATAATTGGATCTTCCCATTCCAAATTTAAAATTTTACAAAACGAGTATTTAAACTTTTTATGCACATTTTTGCTAAATGTTTTCCTCCATATTTCAATTTATTTTGGGTTTGGGCAATTAGTTTTCCATACTTGTTAATTAAAGACATTAGACTGGACAACAAGTATCCAAAATATACCTAACGAATATTTTATTTTCAATTATATAGAGTTATTAAAAAATGGATACAACAATGAATTTTATCAGGGTTCTTTATAAGGAATGGATAATTGATATGGGAATTATAAAATGGCCACGCACATACGACATAGATTCTGATTCAACGAGATTGATTGGTACTCGGTACTTGGTAGGTAAGGCGGTAAAAGATTTTACCACGGTAAAAGATTTTACCGCCTTACCTCACCCCGTTTTCGAGGATGCTGAAATACGAGTTTGGCTGTCCCAACCCCGTAAAGAAAGAAAACAAGCCCCAAGTGGGATCTACTACACATTTTTTATATATGAGGCACTCTAATAACTCATTTTTCGAGGTGGCAAAGTGCTAAAATTGTATTTCAATGTTTTCGAAGATGCCTGACAAAATGCGACAAGATACGACGCCTGCATAAAATGGGACTGTTTGGTCTCATTGTCATTCATCGAATAATTTAAAAGTATCCGAAGATCAAAAAAAGGATTCGGTATTAGGATACTTACAAATTTAGCCACTGATACTGAATACAAAATTTTAAAAACATCCGAATACAGGTTTCGAATACATATAAAGTATCCGGATACTGTATCCGAATACAGAAGTATTCGGATACTACCCAACTCTGTAATCATACAATACCAAATGCCTCCAAATGACAAGTGGAATAAGGTTTATTGTTCCCATATCAAATTCAATAGATTGAAAAAATTGAAATGTTGTCATGGGTACATACTCAAACTACAATCTTTTTCAAGAAATCATTTCTGATTATCTTATAATTTTCTTTTTTATCTACCCATATTACTCTGCTATTGGTATCAATATAGTCGACTTGATTTTAATACAAAATTAGATTGTGAATAAGTTTTGCTTTTTATAACCCTTTACTACTCCGGAAAACTTGTGAATCAGATAAAGTTGTTCAGAAGTTACCGGAAGATGAAGCTCTTAGTCAATATTTCTATTTATTTCGGTTATCATCGATCCATCACTAAGTAAATCTATATCAATATTAACTAAACCAATAAGTAAAATACCATGAAATAAGTATTTTGACTCAACTTTCAGGTTAAGAGGTTTGTTTCACGTTTGAAAACTTTGTGGAATAAATTATAACTGATATTGAAGAAGTTGCAAAACTGTAATCTAAAGTCATAATTAAATCAAACATGTCATATTAGCCATTTGATTTCCACGAAAAATCTACAGAATGTTTATTGCAATATCACTATCACTTTCTATCAGTAAAATGTGACGTAATTTGAAAACTTCAGCCTTCAGATCATTAATATGAGGATCCCATGTCATTTTTTGATCTACTTTGATACCTAGAAATTTGATGTAATTCACCTGTTCTATTGTTTGATGATTAACTCTTATTAGAGGTCTGAAATCATAATTTATATTTTTTGTTGTAAACACCATAAAAAATGTCTTGGACAAATTCACTAGCAATCCGTTGAACACACACCACTCATGAAAATCATTAGCACAAATATTTGCCTTGATTACAGTATCCAGTAATTTATTCTCAGAAATCAGAATATTAGTATCATCAGCATACATAATGATTTGTTTTGGCTCAGAGCATGAATAAACCATATCATTTATAAAAATTGTGAAGAGAACTGGCCCCAATATAGACCCCTGAGGGACACCAATGTTCACAATATTTTCTTTAGATTTTTTACCGTTTATCACCACTATTTGTTGTCTGTCATGGAGATATGAAGCAATCCAATCACTTGTAACNAATAATAATAATAATAATCTTTATTGGTTTCAAAGACCTAAAAGGTATAAAACAAGTCAAAAGAAATATAATGAAATTTAATATAATGAAGCAAGCAGATATCATCAGTATAGAGCCATAGTATTCCATTGAAGGGAAGTCATGAAATTGAGTTCTTGTAACATTATTAACTGAGAATAGGGTCCCGTGGAACTCTATATAATATATCGGCCATTGGGCTAGAAGACTCCAGAAAATACTTATTGAATTCTTCTAAACCATGACAATACTTGTTCATTTATACCAGCATCTCCTAGTTTGGTTACCCCTGTATGGAAAAAGTGTCAGTTGATCAAATTATGAACATGAAATGAAAATACACTATTCTCAAATATATTTGTCTGACAAATTTTTTTATTCTATTCAATAGAGTAGGAGAAATTTGGTGTTAAATTGACCCATTTTCTGACTTAAATTCCATCATAACTTTCGGACAACCTGGTATAAACCCAGAAAACCGTATATTTTTTTAAAACCACTCTTTTCAAGGAAATCAATCGAGATGAAATGTATAGGATATTCCATTTAAAAAAACACAACTTCGATAAGTCACACTTTTATTGTAATATTATGTGTAATTTATGTCTTGTTTACTTTATATTAATTCATGATCACTTGAATGAAATGAATAAAAACCAACTAAACTAAATACCACTGGTAGATTTTATTTATAGGACTGGTTTCGGGTATAATGGGGTCAAACCTGAAACCCGTCCTATAAATAGAATCTTATGATTCAAATGAACAAGCTGGTATTTATTTGATGCATAAAANTTTCCTTAAAGATTCAAATCCAAAAATTCGTCCATTGTCTCGTGGGTTATGAACAAATCTGAGACAAAGAAAAGAAACGAGAGTCTTGGTCGAGATATTTGAGGATGGACGACAACTCCAAGATTGTCGATAGATTATTAGGTTTTCAAGTTTGTGTTTTTATCTCTTCTTTCAATGCTTATTACTTCATTAAAAAAAGATTAATTAGTGAAATTCTAAGCGTAACATGATGGGTAATTAAACAATAATAATTAGACGCAGTATGCTGATAACTTACTTTGCTATTAATATGATCCCTTTCCAAAATTTTTGGCTTTGACCGCGCCTGTATCTGGGTCTAGGAAATTTGGTTTGAAATATTTCCAAAACTAGAAACTTATAGTTGATTTCTTTCTGATATTTTCGTGGATCGATCTTAAAAAGTACTGAAACTGTACTTTTTAGGATCGAACCACAAATAAACAACCATCAGCAGATTGTCATGTCATGTGGAATACTTTGGCTATCACAGCTCAGGATTTAAATAAGAAAACAAAAACTTTACACTTTTTGAAGGGTTTAAAATATCTCTTCTGAGACAACAACACTATACAAAGACATGAAACAAACGTTTGTTTCATGTCTTTGTGTACTGTTATTGAATAGAACTGGCCGATACTTGATGAAAGTCCATATTAAAACTAATTAATACAGTTTATTGTATGATGTTCACTATAAAGGGTTTTACAAAAACTGCGACATGTGTTTCACTATACAATAGCCTTCTCAAGCTATTGTATAGCTTGAGACATAAATTCGACAAATTTAGAAGTTTAGAAGGGAATTGATACAGATATCTCGTTGATGGGGACATGTTACGCCAATAAACATATTGCTGCAGGAATTTTAAAATCTGAAAAGATGCATAAAGGTAGGTTCAATCCGGAATTGAAACTAGTAAATCCATAAAAAATAAATCGGCAAAAAATAACATTGTTTTTACGCGAGCTGATAAAGGAAAAACGGTCAGAGCCATGAACAAAGTAGAATACGTAGAGAAGACTTTAGACTCTCTAAATGCTGGCATGTACGATAGTCTCAGAAACGACGCCACCCATTTATATCAGAATGAAGTCAAAGAAACTTCGAAAAATATTCATTTTGTCCTGGATGAAACGGAAAAAATTTCGATCGTTAGTCGTGAATCCACAACCATCTAAACCTTATTCTTTGATTAAATTACTCAAAGATAACTACCCGATTAGACCGGTAGTTTCTTTCGTCACAGATCCTTCAGTTAAAATATCCGAAAAACTCATTGCAATTATTGAAAACCATACCAATTTCAAATCAAAATTCAGTTTGAGGAATTCATACTATTTGATCAATTAAATTCAAGATAATACATTCCCGGATAATGCCATATTGATTTCATTTGATGTAAAGCATCTGTTTCCCAGTATTCCTCCGAATGAAACGATTACTCTTGTAGAAAATCTATTGGATGAAAAGTCTATCAATCCGGTAGTGAAAAAGGAAATATTGGACTTGCTTATGGTGTGTTTGTCATAAAATTATTTCCAATTCAATTAAACTATTTACTCATTCTGCAAAGGTCAGATAATGGGAAACCCATTTAGTCCTATTCTGGCAGAGATTTTCATGGACGATTTGGAGTGGATAATACACAGTAACCCACTGGTAAGAAGTTTCGTGTATTGGAATGAACAGACACTTGACTAACTTCTTGAATTTCATCAATTCTCTCCACCCTTCTATCACATTCACAGTGGAAATGGAAAAGGTCGACTATTAATTTTTTGGAGTTGACAATAACAAAAGTTAACAACAAACATGATTTTTCAATTTATCGTAAACCGGCACATACAGATATTATCATTCATAATTCGACCACCCACCCGTATCAGCATAAAGTAGCAGCTTTCAACAGTATGATCCACAGACTGATAAATGTGCCCTTGTCAGAGGCGAATTTCAATAAAGGACTGAACATAATAAAACAATGTCAACAATGATTACGAGAGCAGTCTACTACATTCTCTATTATCAAAAAAGTTATACAGTCAAGCTTTGAAAGAAGTTTACCCAATTCGAAGAGAAGAGGATAAAAGTTATAGAACCTTAACCTACTTAGGCCAACCCACTACAAATATTTCGGATTTTCTGCACAGCAAAGGTGTAAATATTGCTTTCAAAATCAACAATAACTTAGGCATGCACATTAAGAATAACAAATATAAAAGTCCAGTTTCAGAAAAATCGGGAGTGTATAAATTATCATGCGGGTCATGTGTAATGTTTCATATAGGTCAATCTGGAAGAACGTTCAAAGCCTGCATAAAGGAACACAAATATAATTTCCAGAATGGAAAATAAATTCCACATTTGCCACTCACTTGATCACAAAAGGGCATGAGTTCAATTATGAATACAAGCCTCTCCATTTCCAGAAAGGTTTGAAACTTAATTTGTTGGAGAGTATGGAAATAAACAAATTCAAAAACTCTTAATATCTTATGAATAATCAAACTGAATTAAATAATTCGCCATTTTTGAAACTGTTCATTTTCAGGTAAAAATAGTTAAGTATATTTACAGTATTTTCGAAAAATTTATGAATTCATACCTGACCTTTTCGGGTAGGTTCATTCATTAGAAATTAGGCATGCGAGTAGGTACCTACGGTTAGAGTATAAAATGGTTGTAATTTAGAAGTGACTTTTAATTTAAATTTATGCTTGAGCAAGCTATTATTAAGCGAAACACGTGTCGCGGTTTTTGTAAAAATCATACAATAAACTGTATCATTTAGTTTTACTGTTATGTTGTTTTTTTATTACGCATCTAATATGTTTGATTTTTTTAAAATAGTTATATTTTCAACACTAAGAAACTCGAGCCCTGGAGAATAATTTAATTGAATTCGAAACGTTGGCAAGAGAGCCATTGCTTTTTTAAGAAAAATTGATCCTGTTACCCAACTAACCCTTCTTGACAAAAAATCATTGGATCCCTAAACCAGTTAATCCATGAATAACCTAGAATGAATAATTTCAGTTTTAAAAATAACAGTACTATCAGCACCACCATTTGCAATTCTTGCAACATAAAACTAATCAAATGAAAATAGTATTACTGCGAGAAAGAGTTTATTGCTTTCATTACATGCTTTTGAAATTGTTTAAACAAAAGAAGTTGCTTGAAATATGATGCATGGAATTATAATATTTCTTTTTTGATTCATTCTTACAAAATATAACATTGTTGTTAGTCTCTTCTTCTACTTCCTTCCTTGATATGGTGATTGCCTTGAGAAAGATATTTTAGGTACAAAACCAGATTCTCCATTTACCGAATAGTCAACTGTCATAAGACGACCATCTGGTAAATATACATAATAAGATCCTGCAACTCTCCCTGCTATATCTCCAGCTTCGTTCTTGCCATAGAAAGTGTTTGTTGGTGGGTTTTCAACTTTGTACTGATATTCATACTAAAACAGTTACAAATGGTTTATTTATTGATTTGTTCATCTAATGAGATCACTCATATTTTAAAATAACTTTGACAATGCAATAGCATAGTACACTGAAATAAATTATGTTGAACTTCAGAAAATTTTGTCGTTTGAGAACGATTTATGTTTTTAAAGTGCTCTGAAAATTGTGTCAGTTGTGTCAGGAAACAATAATGATCTTTACTCAGAAAATTTTACATTTCCATCTTTTTCCGCACTTGTACTACGAATTGTACTTACTCTTAAAGGCTATTGTAAGTCAATTTAACGAGCATTGTACGGTGAAATAACAACAGACAGATATTGAAAAAAATGTCTTCAACTTTGAAAGGAAGGAAATATATTTTGAATATGGAGAAAAAACGTAAATAATTTGAAGAATATGTCGCTGCTTCTTTATTTGCTATGAAACCTTTGGAAAATAACCCCAAAATCCCTTCTCCTAGGAGACCAAGAAGAAGTAAGAAAAAGTGTTTTTAGAGGTCATAAATATGTGTTTATAAAACTCATTAAAAATTTGTCCATACTCTAGAAGAAAATGATGATGAACTGTATTGTTGAGTGAAAGTAATCTGAGAATTGATAGAATAACAGAATTATGTACACCAAAGAACTGCCAAGAATAACATTGACAGTAATAACAATTTGCCGAGTATTTTAACAAATTATACTGGATTTCCCACCACGCTATTTAAAAGATTTTGTCATTTGAGACCAGTAACTATCATAGTTTTAATAGTAGACTCTGAAACTATGTGTATTGAAAATTAGTCATCTTATAATTATTGATCAACTGAAAAAAACGATATACTTACTGGCGTTGGGAGTTCATTAGTATATGTAGGTACTTTTTGGGAGAAAAATTGTGGTGCTGCTAAGATCGTTACTGATGTAGCAATCAAAAATGAAACAAATGAACTCAAGGTGGAAACCATCATCTGCAAAATAACGAACATTTTATTAGATAGATACATATAAGAAGTTTGCAATTTTTTTAAATAACATTTCATACAGAATGCGTCATGTGAAGTGGCCAAACCTAACTTTCATATTTTGAATGCAACACCTTGTATATAATTAAATTTTTATATATTTCAAAATATTCTAGACATATCCACAGTTTTTGCAAACACTAACATTAAAAAAGAAAATTAGGTGTTGATAATGAGAAAATGAGCAAAAACTATTCCAGTGTTAATTTTTTACTGATATTATGTAAAAAAACCTATAGATAGTGTTGTTTACTGGAACTCCTGCTACAAGCAAATTGTTTGATAACAGAGTTATAATCCTTTGAATTTCATTAACTGCATATCAGAAGAATGGCCATTTAACAGAAATTCACAAAATAAAAATTCTACAGATGATTGGTTATTGAGATAACATACTGAAGCCTTATTTTATATTCAATATACAAACTTTCATGACGCCACTTGTCAAAACGAAAATAGTCAAAAATCTGTTAGTTAACTACAGAACTTCATTCTTTGAAGTGTTTAGATAATACCGCAATTTATTGAAATTTTTAAATTGATATTCAATACTTGAAAAAAATGTAATGCTTCCATGTCGTAAGGAGCGCTCTGAGAACTATTTTTTCATACAAAAATTGTGGAGGTAGAAGTACAACTTTTTCACTGTACATTTCTTCGACTTTCAGAATGTTTTATTTTTATTCCTCAAGTATTGATTTTGAGTTATTGACGAAAAACTGAAAGGTTTCTTTTTTTGATCTCAATTTGTTAATAACAATTTTTTTGTTCTGTAAAATCATTAAAAACCCGTTCAGCTACCCGTCATTCTTTAACCGATGAGCTGTCGCTTATATTTTTGGGACCTTCATCTCTATTGAACATGAAATTCAACTTGTGAACTAGACGATGTCTAGAATATGAACAATTCAAAAACCGAATAAAATATAGGGTGTTTCGTTTAAAATAAGAAAGTTGATATTGGTCACATGGATACTATAACTGAATTGAAGGGTTTATATTTTTTAGGAGTGATTAATTTTTGGGAAAGAAAGTTTTTGGCTTTCTACTACTCCATCTTGATACAAAAAAAATATTCAGGGTTCATATAGAAGTATTTGTTTCGAAAGATTTTTTTTTTTGTATAATTCAATGTTTATATGAAAGTAGCTGTTTCAGGAGGACTTTCTTTCAGTTTGTGTCTGAAAGGTTCTTCTTTGCATGATCTACACATCCATGTATAGAGTTACTTCCTTCCTTTCTTTGGAAGACTCCCTCATCCTTCTTTTTTTTGTATCAAGATTGAGTAGTAGAAAGCCAAAAACTTTCTTTCCCAAAAAAGATACTATAACGTAATGAAAAAATGTGCAATGTATTTTTGAACACGCCTCTATTTATATGTTATGGAATTTATTTCGTTTGACTGATGCACACTGTACTTCAAGTGGTAAAGTTACCCTACCAAATCATGACATTTCAAAAAAACGTGACAATATTATGCTGGTATCGATAATTACAACTTGCTGCTCTAGCGTATGAGAAAGTAATTTTTGATGCAATTCATTGTGCACTAATTATACTTACTAAAAAAAATCACTTCACAAAAAACACTTATTAATAATAAGATGCTGCGGCTTCGGTGTTATTCAAATGAATGGAGGAACACATACAAGAAGAGCCTTTTTATGTATCATGCAAGGTCTTCTTAAAGACATCCCCACTTGAAAATATGCATGAATATATATTTAGTGTCTATTCCTCCTGTGTTCCAAAAATGGTTAGATTAATTCTCGCCAATGTGTTTCTTTGTTTATTGTGTTGTCTTGAGAAATATGCAGTTTGAAGTTTTTTGAAAAGCGACAATTTGAGTTCAAAATATCTTTTACACCTCTTTATTCGAAATTATCCTTTTCAGTTTTTAACATGACCAAATTATTTTATATTATTGAATGTTTTCAATTATTTATATTTAGTATTAGACACACTTGAAGTAGTTACTTATTCTATAGTGAAACACGTATTGTGATTTTGTGAAGCGTTATGCAACCTTACAATCAAGTGTTAGGAATCACACGTTAAAAGGTAAGACCTCATTAGTCCTTAGCTTGCACAACTTTCGAATTCTGAGGGTTGTTGTTCGTAGGGGCGCGACAGCTGTTTGACGGAAAAACAGATTTTAAACGGAAACAGACAGTGTTGCTCAGAATAATAACCGAATTATATTAGGTAGTTGTCTTATGATTTATGGTTGAAGTGTAGTCAGTATTAAACAAATTGATCCTATTTAATGAACATACAAAACATATGACTTTGTGATCGTTTGCCACTCTGCCATAAACCAAATCTGCTTTTTGCAATATATCAAATATTAATCAAGATGCAATTTTTGAGAATGTTTAGATTAATGAAGAATATTAATTCTTAAATTTCTTTTGAAAACTATTCCTGTTTTACTGATAACTATTTCATAAAAAATATTCCCAAGTATGCTGTCATCCGCGTTTTTTCATGTGGTTTATGAAGAAATGAATAATTAATATAGGTATGTAAAGTTCACGTTTCATATGAGTGTTGCTTCAGATCATCAATATTCCTCAATTATCCCACGATTGTGACTAGGTGTATTTATTAATTAACATCTAAATTAGTTTCAACAAAGGGATTGTCGTATATGAATAGATTTTTCTTCATTAAAAAATGTAAACATTTTATGTAGATATTATCAAAAAGTTTTCAGTCTGTTGTTCAAATTCTTTATGAAAAATTGATTAAGCATTATTTTATATATAAATTAGAGAATATAATAAGATTTTTTCAGATTGTGGAATGTGAAAATACCTAAAAAGAGTCCGATAAAGGCTCTGGTATCATTCACAAAAAATGACTTTCGTTCAATATTAATTAACATCATTATCAATTTTGAGAGTAACTTTCAGAATCGCTTTGAGGATTTGACAAATAGGACAAGGCTCTACTCAAACTGCAGTTTGCGTAGAGCCTTGATGATGACAGCACAACCAGCTGTCGAAAACGCTCGCATATAATTCAATAGGAGTTATGAAGCTNTTTTTCTCCATAGCAATGGTCTTGGTGTTTTCGAAGCTTATTGTGTGGCCTGTTTCCTGGTGGTGTTCAACACCACCACCACGGGGTCATATTATGCCAAAATCTGAATATACAGAAGATTTTCCTAATCTATGCATTTCAAAGTGGAGAGGAAAACTTTGATCAAAAATATATAAACGTTGCTGAAAATATTGGCAACTTTTTTAATAAACGTGAAAAGTTGGTTGAGAGCAATCATGTTATAAGATCGGCTAAAGAGTTAGTCTCCTGAATATTTATCCAGAGATAACCTCAGATATCTTAAATATTATAAACAAATATGAACAAAATTCATAATATACAAATTATTATGTGGTGAACATAGTTTCTAGATTCAAATAAACAGTCGAAAATGACTGTTTCACAACAAAGTCTAAAATAATTAGCATTGAATTGGGGCAGTGGTAGTGCGCCCGACCCACTATCAAAACCGTGAGTTCTATCCCAACCTCCACAAGATATTTTTCTCGAGGTAATTTATCTGTTTGAAGTTGGGATAATTCTGCAACTTTAGATTGCTGAGTTCGAGGAGTTATTTAGATTACCTACACGAGGCTAAGGATCAAGCAGTCGATGCCTGATCAATATAATAAAAAATGAAATTGTCAATTTCAAGTCATTCTTTACCAGTAGTTGGACCAATATCAACAAATGTACTATTAGCTCATTCAGTACAAAGAATCAATGGTAATTACGTTCGACCCTATATGGAATACAAAACGCCAATTTCATAATAAACCTTCTACTCACTATGCAAATTCCGGTAACCTCCCAAATATGGTCAATTATGAAATATGAATGTAATTTGCCAAGTGGTTAATGCTAAGGAGTTCCTCCCGTATATATGTGATATATCATGAAGGCGTTAATTGTCATCCGACGATAATGAGAAACTTTTGCATATGGTGACAACCTGAAGTATCCATTGAGCCAATCTGATTATGTAAAATGGAAATGCAATGTCTGATGAATTAATTGAAAATAATTTATAAACGACGATTCATTGATTAGTACTTCTACCTTATGACTAATCAACTGAATTGTAACTCTTTTCAACGCCTTCTCACAAGTTCATCTGCTATTACTCAATTTCCTGAACTGCGTCTGCTTGTATTATTTCTGTTACAAGGTTATTCAGTATGATATACATCATATATTATAGAATTGAAAAAAATTATATCACCTACGAAAATATTTGTGTTATTTCAAAAGCGTGCCATCCTATTCATAAGAGGTTATCTATTTTAAATCTATGAATCTAATTTTAATCCAACACGAATAGGTAAATTTCAAAATATAAAAGTGTTATGGTATTGTAACGAATCAAAAGCCGCCCCTGACCGATATGCCGGCCAGCGAACAAACACATGAAATCACCGCGAAAGAATGCAGTCGGCAACCGCCGGTAAAACTAGTTGAGTATCGAACCGACTACCGAACCGATTTCTAGAAAGAACCGTTACACTATATAAGCCTGGCTTCCCGACCCAAGAGGGCTTAGGAACCTATAACAGGGTCCTAGCAAATCACATAATAATTGTAAAATACTAACCCCAAATATGAATAAACATGATACAGTACAGTACTACCCAAGAAGTTCAGGAAGTGAATCGAGCGGCTAAACAAGAAATTCAAATAGTAAAAATAAATTAAGCATTAGTTGCTAAGTGCTGTGAATAAATTAGTTTGTGATTAGTGAAATATTATTGGAAATAAATTTGTTTAAGACAGTCAATTTTTCAATTTGTTACAGTATTCTATAAATATTTCATAAAAGTCCTATTTAAGTTGACAAACATTTATTTTGCATTGCTCATCGAACTGTTTTATCAACTGATACTATTACTTATGTGCTGATTAGATATATTTTCTGGAAGTGCATTGTGTGTAGTAAATAAGTTATGTTATGAAATAGTTAAGATCTGTTTCGACTTCTCCACTCCCCTTTGTTTAAAGGGGAAGTGAAGTTATAACAAACATTAGTTTTACATGATAGCACATTCATTCACAAATACCCAATATTAGGCACATATTTTGTTAATTTCTTTATCCGAAGCAAACATTTCTCCCTCACTGTGACAACTCTTCTCGAGGGGCATCACCAAACAAATTAGCCACTTGATGGTTGAAACACACGTTAAGAGAAGTGTGTAATGTATTTAATTTTTTTTTTTCTATTCGGTGTGTTCTTTTCATACTTTATCAGTTATTTCAGGTTGTGACTGCATGAAGTTGGCGATTAATTTGTCTTCCTCTGTATTAATTTTAGATTTGCTGCTTATCTACTCTACCTCTCTCAATTTTATCCTTTTGTTTGTATCTTTCAAGAATATCTTATGGACATATTTTTATTTCAACAGATATCTCATGGATATCATATGAAATTATAAACTGCTTCATTCCAACAATCAATTAAAATTTTCTTCTAGGACACAATTGTGGATACAAAAAATCGAAAATTGTCTATGTAGATAATGAAGCTGTATTGTTTTTCTAAAAAAGAAGTTGAAATGATGGATGGAGGAGACTGACTCAATTCCACATTTTCGCATGTAGATTCTTCTTCTGGAATTATTGAACTTAGTTCAGGCTTGGTGAAGTTTGATTTTTGAAGGATTTGCATGCGAGTCATTTTGAAATATTAATGAAGAAAATTATTTCCTAGGCATTAATGAATATATTGTTTTTTTGATGTACAATGATTTCTAAGATTTTTTCAATGTTTGGCAAAGTGTTTATTCCTCTGAAATCTGTTACTTAGTTGCGTTGTTAATTTTAAGGATAGGAATCCCAGTGCTCATTTTTAGATTCTCAGGAAAGTAACCTGATGCAAGTGAAGCCTTTGTTCGGAAGATAAAAAATCATATTTTTCAATTCTATAAGATTAACATTCTCAAATTTTACAAAGTTACTAGGTATTAATGGCAAATGTTCATGATTCTATTCAGATACTGGTGTAATCAGATTGGAAAGAATTTTTATACTTTCAATAAAATACTGTTTAAATCTGTTTAAAATACTCATTGAACATATAAGCTGCTTCAAGTTCATTTTGAGCTACGGTGTCTGTGCCAAAATTGATACATTTGTAATTTAACTTATTTTTTTCACCTTTTATCAATTTTTTCAGTGTTTTCCACATTTCTTCTACATTACCCCTATTTTGATCAATGTGATTTTCATAATATTGTGATTTCTTGGTTTTTAGCTTATTAACCATTAATTAACCATTATTAATCTCAAGTCTTTCAATAAATAGATGGATGTAGCCGTTACTACGTGGTAGGAGATCATAATGAGAAGAGAAATGAAAATTTCTGTTTTTTACCACTTTTAATTGTAATTAACTTTACTGAAGTTTCGTCCTATATGAACATTCTCAAACTTATACAATAAACTGTATAATTGTATAAGTTTGAGAATGTCCATATAGGACGAAACTGCAGTAGTTACAATTGAAAGTGGTAAAAAACATAGAAATTTTCATTTCTCTTAAGTCTATATATAAAAGTTGTATTGGTTAGCATATCTTTGAGATAAATATTATCATCATCAGTTCCTTATATTAATCTTTTGATATGTAGTAGAGATACCAAAAGAATCCGTTCAGAAGGTAATCATCACTTAGTCTTTTGATGTGATTGTGGCAAAAGGGGGTGGATTATTGATAGCAGCGAAGTTGAACGCGATAAACTGAAAAACTATTGAAGTCCAAAGAAGGTTCATGTGTATTAATGTTTTATGTAAATTGGTTGAAATATGACGATGCTAGCCGTGCGAAGCCAAGGCGGCTGATAGAGAGAGAGAGATAAATTCCAAGAAATCAAGTTATTATTGACAAAGCATGTTAGAAAAAAATGTTAAAGAGTGCTTTTTTGAATATCGAAAGGTTAACAAAAGTAAATCAATCTTATACTAATCAGCTGAAAAAATAAACATGTCAAATATAGATAAAATGAGTGGGCATATAAAAGAATCGCATAAAAATTTATTAAAAAAGGAAATGAAATGTAAATAATACATACTGACAATAAAATCATAGCAGAGTTTCACTGTAAAATTCCTCGAGATTATAGAATGCTTTTTTGAGTAGAGCTTCTTTCATTATTTTTCTGAATTTGTAATAATTTTTCTCCTTTCTTATTTCGGGGGGTACGTAATTATATATTTTTTTGCTTTCATAAATCAGAGAGTCCTTTGTCAAAGTAGATTTCAGAATAGGGAGAGGTATTTTATTTTCCGATATTTGCCTTGTAACATATATTTCATTTGACTGCTTGGTTTTGGGGTATCAACTGTAATAAGGTTTTACCATTAGCCAGTTCACTAGAAAATGCTTTCTCTATTTTACATTTCTGTGACCTATTGCTTAGATATTGCTGAAACCATTTCAACACATTACCTTCAATACTGTAATATTTTAGTTTTGTTACTAGCATTTTTCAGTCGATGGTTTCAAAGGCTCTTTTGAAATCAAGAAAAACTGCAATTATATAGTTACCCTCATCTATTTCTTGCTTCCAGTTTGATATCGTTAATTGTAAGGCGGTTTCGCAAGAATGCTGTCGTCTAAAACCTGACTAATTACCAATTAGAAGCTGATTTACTTCGAAGTATTTTGATAGTTGTTGATGTACAATGATTTCTAAGATTTTTTCAAAGTTTGGCAAAGTGTTTATTCCTCTGAGATCTGTTACTTAGTTGCGTTGTTAATTTTAAGGATATTTTGAAACAGTTGAAATCTAATAAATTCACATATAACTGAAAATCCTAAATATAAATAGTTTTTATATTATTTAATACTGAATGGTCCTCAACACGGATCAGGCTTATCAATTTTATCAAATACTTGATGGCATATATCTCTTTCATAAGAAATTCCTTCCACAAACCACCTGTGGATCATTGCATGTGAACTATTTCCTCCACCAAAATGGTTTGCCTAATCCCCAAAATTTTGGTTTTCTTGACCAAAATCAGTTTATTACTATGAAAATTCTATCCAGCATATTTCAAATGACAAAGAATATGTCATGAATAAGATCCTATATTCCTCAAGCCAATAAAATATGTTTAAAAACAAGAGTTAAAATACTTATTTGTTCAATTTATTTCATTTGTTACTAAGATTAGGAATAAGAGTATTAGTTTGTTAATTGTAAAATGAACAAAAGAGAACTTTTCAATTTATTCTTAAAAGTAATTAACATCATTATTTCATGTCATTTCCTCCGTGCAGAAAATATTTCCCAAAACTTATAATTATACAGTTGCATACAGTTCCAAATGAAATAGCGTAAAAATTATTCAAAAAATATTTGTTGAATATAAGTAATTAATAGATACACTTCTCCCAAAAAGTGAATTGTTACTATTTTCATCCTTTCAAGAATCATTTTTCATATTTAAAAATATAAGTGATAGTTTTGCAACCATATGATCTGCATATTTTACAGTCAAGTCATCAGAACTTTCTCAAACTTTCTTAACGATCTGTACAACATCTTCATCGCACAGAATATGTTCCAAACCAACTTTTTGCGGTTGATGCTTTACAGATGATCCCCACACCAAGGCACTGAAAAAAAAGTACAAATTATTATATGTCCTACACACTAAAACAATTCTGAACCTGTTCGAAAAATATTACCATTGATTCTTACTCCAAATAATGTTGCTGATGATGTAAATGATTTTTATTGGTAGGTACAAACAAAACAAAATATTTTTCTTTTGCTAATGGGCAAACCATTTCCAGTTCAACACATTCAGAATAGAAGTAATATAAGTTGTATTCGTTTCCTGAATATTGAGTTTACATTGAAAACAATGAGGAGTTACTATTATTAGATGTCTTGGTGATAAGGAGTAACCAGGATTTACAATTCGATATCTACAGGAAAGAATTTCGACTAATGATAGCACTTCTTCAACGATAAACAGCTGATAGAAGTAACTAAATGTGAAACATAGGGGAGTTGGGAGTAGCAGGAAAAACATCATATTTTTCATTACTAGAGTCTCATCTGAGGTATGGTATCGTTTTCTGGGGTTTCTGTAACAAGCAGCTGATGCAATCAGTGTATGTTCTACAAAAAAGTGCGATAAAATATATATCTAGAGCCAAGCGTTTGGACTACTGTAGACCACTGTTCATTAAGAGTAGAATACTAATAATTTACTGCATCTTCATTCTACAAACAGTATGTCCAATTCAAAACCTACTTCAACATTAACCAAAAGTTCCATAATATTTGAGAGTCGGAAGATATTTAATCATTTACCATTTGAAATGAAAAGTATTAAGACTCAAAAATATTTCAAAAACGTGTGAAGGAATTTTTTCTTACGAAAGCATATTAGAGCTTGGAAGAATATCTTGAAGACAGATTTTGAGTACCTGAACCTTTGAGGTTAAATCAACTGATTTATTTTATTTATACATGTAAATCAATTCTTACTGCTTTATAGAATATTATGTTTTGTCTACATATAAGCGTTAGGCCTTGTATTGTTCCATTTTTACTTCAATTAATTTACTGTAAATTGACTGATTTATTTATGCTTTGTCAATAATAGTTTTTGCTTCGACAATAAAGAACATTTTTGACTTGATGTTTATTTTTCTAGAGGTTTTCTGTGTTTTGGGTGGTTTAATTGTGAAAATAAATTACATTCACTAATGAGAAGCATAAGGGATAACAATGCTTTGTGTAAATTGACTGATTTATTTTATTTATTTATGCTTCATCAATAATAATTTTTGCTTTGACAATAAAGTACATTGTTGACTTGATGTTTATCATTTTGGAGGTCTGCCTTGTTTTGAGTAGTTTAACTAACGAGAAGCACAAGGTATAACAATGCTTTGTGAAAAGTTTAAAGAAGTTTGTTTTTGTTTTAGCATCTGATTCAATTCCAATATTTCTGATAGCATCCACCATTGTCTACAACACCTAGTGTGGGTATACCCTTTCTTTAGTTGTTAATTATGTTACTTGTATATCTTTAGATATGTTTTGATACAATTTGAAACCATTTGATTTTTATTCCAAAATGAAGAACGCATTATGAAGTGGCGCAATTTGTCTTTTTGTCTAGGATGATATAAAAGCTGGAGGAGCAGGCACTGGTGAGAGTCTCACGTGGGTTTCTACCGGGCCTAATATTCTTGAGTTTCAGAGAGTAGAAATGTAGGAGAAATTTGGAAGTGGTTCTGCAAAATTATATTGACCGATTTCTATCACAAACCGTAATAATTGAATTCTCTCACTGATTCTACTGGTTGTGAGTGAGAGAACACCAAACTTCTGACCGATATTTTTGAATGTTATAATTTTAATAATTATTACTTGGGCCCTACTAGAATATTTACAAACAAAAATGATTACACTAGTTCTACATGCATTGAGTGTATGGTTACTACACTTCCTGTTGATGTTAGTTCGTGTAAAATAGTTCAACCCAATATAGCTTTACTATCCCTACCAAAATGTAAAAACCTTGAAAATATTTTCTTTTTTCCAAGTGTTTTTTTTTCAAAAATGTTCTGTGAAGAAAAATGTATTATTTGGACCAGGCCTAGATCAATGCTGGACATACAAAATGAAAAATATATGTTGATACTTATGTTACATCTGCCAGACAAGCATTTTTAGACAAACTTTCCACAGGTTCGAAAAGTCCTTCGGACAAATCCAGCTCTCTCCAACTTTTTCAATCTACACAATTGAATTCATATTTTAGACAAACTAAAGTTTTCAATTTGTAATTTTGGCAAAACAGATCTGTACCTTGATGCCTTACTTATAACTGAGATAATAGTTAATAATGGTCTAATTAAATTACTGAGCTGTTTCATAAGAGTCAATTTTACAAAACTATGAGAATTGCTGAAAAACTATTTAATTCAGGTACGATCTTTTTTTTAAATAAATACAGAGCTGAGATTGAAAATAAGTTAGACAACATATTAATACTTACTATTTGAATTCTTTAGCTATACTCCTGTGAAGTTTGTTACAAAAATCTTCAACAGATATGTGATCAGCATGCAAAACGATTGGTGAATTGTAATCTGGTAGTTGCCCTTTTGGTTTGGTGTATCTGAAAAAGTCAAAAAATGCTGTACAAGACTCAACACCAACTGTGAGTTAAACATTTTTCCAGCTATATATTATAGCAGAAAGCATAAATAAACTAAGAACGAATATTGATTACTTGAGCTACATGATGTAAATCAGGAAAAAATTATTTGATACAGTATTTATTTGCTAATTCTCTTTACGTTTGTGACAAATGAGAGAATTTAAAACAATTGCGGGGAAAATATTAACAAACATCAATAAAACCTCTGTAAAGGTACTCTTTGAGAGTTTATGGCTAGGATCAGGGTAACTAGATTCAATTCTAAAGTAGTATGAATGATTTCTGACACACAAATGACAAAATATTTATGATTTGTCTCTGATAACAAAAAAGAGAATTCTGTTTTACACAATATCTGCAAGGGAAAGTAGATGTTTCATAAATACTCTTGTCGTTTGTCTATGAATTAAAAAAATGTATTATTGATCAATAATTTTTTAAAACAGAAGCAGTAAATAAAAAAAAAGTATATTTTCATATGATGTATACTTACATTCGTACTAATTTCAAATATTCCCACATTTTTTCTAAAAGATCATCAAAGTTCCATCGATGGTGAGCAGAAATCGGTACACAGTGTGGTATTTTATAAATGACATCCAATTCTTCAATACTTATTTGATCTGAAATAAGTATAATATACTTTTTATTTAGTAACTCATAATAAGTATAATTTTACCAATCTTGTTCAGAATATAAATGCAAGGTACATAAATTCGATTTCCTTCAATAACATCAATGAGATCATCACTTGTAGCATCATATTTCAATGTAACGTCTGCATTATGAATTTTATATTCAGAGAGAATTGTTTTCACAGTATCTGAGTCTAGTTCAGATTGAGGAACCTGAAAGTAACAAATGCTTAAAAATACTGGTTGCAGCATTATGTGAAATTACTAAGAAAATAAGAATAACATTGACTTAACAAAAATTCTACAAAGATTTCGAAACTATGTTTATTCATTCTAATCGTATGGTCATGATTCACATATTGTATGTCTGTATTTCAATTTGAATGTACAATAATGGATAATATGAAGCTAATGGAAATTTTCAAATATACTTACCAAAGATATAAATATGACATGCAAGGTGAAATTTTAGGAAGCATTTTGAGTTTGTAGGTTTAAATCAATAGATGGATCCCCCATTCATTACTGAACCTTAGCGAGGCGCGGTTCAAAATGCATTAGTTTACCGCACATTTGACATATTTCCAGCAATTTATGTGAAGCAAAATATTTTATCAAACACTACAGGATTGGTTAAGCGCTCCCTTTGAAAATCATGGCTACCTAACAACTATAGAAATACATTTCAACAAGTAGGTGTGAGAAGAACATTAATTTGGTCTTCCAAAGCATATGAAAACACCTTATTTCTATAAAAGGGTACTCTTCAGAAAATAATATATGTAGATCTATCTCAGAAAATCATCCCAAGTTCAACCCTCATTCTGATCCTCATTATATTTTTTGAATAATTTTTTTTCGCCATTACCTACCATGCAATTCAAGTTAACTCCGCCTTTATCTTTCTTCTTGAAGTAAATATTGGGTGGTTTTTTATTGAGTCTCAATCCAAATCCTTCCAATTCATGTTCAATGAGCTTTTTATGGTGTAATGGCTTCAAAACATCTAGACAAAGAAAAATTAAACTGCAAGTTCTAGCAACTGCTATAACTTGTCTTCCTCTTCCTTTACCATCTTTAGCACCCTCAATAATTCCAGGCAAATCCAATAACTGAAACAATCATTTGGGGTTACCATACATTGGATAATGCAGTAATTTGGTTTGGATTTTCCACCATTTCAAGTGACAGTTCATAAACACTTGGCAAAACTAGGTGAAATATTTAGGTTGGGATTGCATTGAAAAGATTCTTGAAAGTGAAATAACTGTATGTTGAATAGTGTTTTTTCATTTTAATGACCTAAATGATTTAGTCACCAAAACATCAGCTTTTCTTAGAAAGGTAAGTTTCTCATGTTATTTATAACAAGTTTGGATAACTAATTCTACACTATATGTGGATTTTCTAATTTTAACTAGATAATGATATGGGTGATGTCACAATTTCATTCCAGTGAAATTTTGATATTTAAATTGTCCCATATGTATCTGTTTTCCGATCATGAATCTGAAGTAAAAATTAAACAGTTGGATCAATGGTCAGAGATTTTACAAAAACATGTATTTTTTTAATCAAGACCAAAAAAAATTATTCTTTGAGACTAGACTATTACAGTACTGAGTCAGAAATGAGAGAGATGATAATAAAATGACAAATTTGAGTTGAGTCGAATACCCAAAAAATTATTGGTGGATCTTACCCGTCCTAGAAAGCTGATAATGTATGGAGTGAAGAATTTGTCTCTTCAATAGCATTTCAAGGATAATGTCTTCCCAACATCAATTTCATTGTTTCTTTTTGCCTTCAGAAATGTGGAATGCCACCTTCTTTTTGCAAAATTTCTTACACCAATTTTCACCCTAATAACAAGAGCTTTATGAAACATGTGATGATAGAGATGCAATTTTTATTGGTATGTATCTCAACATGAAGAACTGCCAATATATGAAGATTCATACTATAGGTATTAGTTATTTGGTAAAATTACTGTTAGTATCAGTACCAAATGTATTATTTTTACAATGCTGATCAAATCGAATGACAGTCTATAACAATTCATCAGCTTCACCTGAATTTTAGCTCCTTTGTATTTAATACACCCAGGTACGGTAGTTAAAGTCGTGAATTCATATGCTGCTACTTCAGAGTATACACCAGCTAAGTTACTCAGCAATGTAGACTTTCCTACAGATGGAAAACCGACGAAACCCACTCTTGCATCACCGGTTTTAGCTACATCAAACCCTTCTCCTGTGCCTCCACCGCCTCCTTTGGGAGTAATTAATTCGCGTCTTAATTTAGCTAATCTTGCTTTAAGCAACCCCAAGTGGCCAGCAGTTGCCTTATTTTTTTGAGTCCTGGCCATCTAAAAATTTCATAGGTTAGGCTAAGAATAATTCATTTAAACAGTTCAGATTGCATTACCTCAGACTCGATAGCCGCTATTTTGTCTAATATAGTACTCATGTTCAATAAATTTTATTTCAAATTTCCAAGGAAATATTAAAAAACGTTCAAAAGCAAGTTGAACAAAAATTACTCGCGTTTTCCATGCACTCTTAATTTCTAAGTTCCATCACAGATTTAATCTGTGGCTCCATATGTTAAACGTACAGAACACCCTAACTAGTGTTCTGTGATATGGTTGGGTATGGTCCGAAAGTAACCAAATGCTAACCGATATTAACCGGAAATTCTGTCAGCGGTTTCCTAAAAAAAACTATAAACTGGCGGTTATTTTCGGAACACATTCGATTGTCTAGTTCGAAAACAAATATGTATTTATTTATTAATCAAGTTGTTTTACTATTTCTGTTCATTGAAATAATTTCTAATTGAATGTGGAATATACCGGTAATTTTTTTCGAAAAGTATTTGAATGTCCGTTGACAAGAATATTATTGACGAACAATCCTCTGATGGTTTTGAGACCCAAAATGAGGAAACTTATTCAAGTAATACTTTATTGTGAGGTTTTCACTGAACTGTGACAAAACAGCAACACATGTTACACGATTCAATACCTGCGAAAAAATAGGATAAATATTCAGTTTCTCTAGGACTCTACAAACCAAGTTGCCAACAATTTTTTTTCGAAGCCTTCTTTGGTGATTAATACAAAGAAGTTGCTTCGAAAAATTTGTCTAAGAACTATTACCAGGATGAGCACAGTAGTGAATCCATTTTTACTGCAATAAATAATTCTAGAAAACCTTTGGAAAGTCACTTTTCCACTGTGCATGTAAGTGTTCTTGAAAATGTTCATGTAAATCAGATTGTCCAGTAATGGTTATCATATAACGGAATTTTCTCTCTCTAACTAATATTGATGTTTGCTTCCGCTCAGACGCAGCGGGGCATGTCTATTCGTGGGAGTACACAAGTCTTGCTTCCTAACTTTTCATGAATTGTTTGCACGTCTTCCGACGGCGGACATAGGTACACTACAAATAAAACTATCACGGAACAAATAAGGTTAAATTGATTGCACATGCTGTGACGGCGTGACCTTTCAATCTCTCGTCGATTGAAACATCTACAACCAATTATACGTCCACCCACCTCGACGAGGAAAAGGAAAACATAGTTTTTTTGCATTTACTAAATATTTATTTACTAAATAATTTCGACGTCCGACTTCTGACAACAGACCAGACGTATATTATTACCAGCAAAGAGTACAACTTAAATAATTACGTTACACGAATAACTATTTTATGTGCTATTTTGAATTGATCAAAGAGTCGAGAATTACACCTAAGCATAGAATATGCTTATATTGTGCCTATTCTTCCAATTTGAATGAATCCTTAAGACTATAGAAAACAAAATACAAAAAATTTTCATATTATAGGTTATATAATATATTGGAGAGAGGAGGTAAATACAATGGACCAAAGAAAGGAGTGAGAGCGGGTATTTCATGAATGAATACTCCTTGGAATTTTCGTATGATATGGTAAATTTGTGTCAGTTTTTTACTAGGGGATTCAAAAATATANATGTGTTTTTTAGAAAACCGTTTGGCAAATCTACTGTAGGGATTTTTCAACATGTCCTGCCCAATGTTTATGAAATATTTGTTAAACAGTTTTATTTTCTCATCATTTTTACTAATTTTTTCACCATTTGATTTTATAATTGTTACGTTTTGTACATTATTTTCAGTGCTGTTTTTAGTTGAAATATCTTTAATAATTTTCCAAGTTTTTTTACAATTACCGTTTGCTCCAATCAGTTTATTTCTGTAATATTGATTTTTTGTTTGCCTAATTAGCCCGGTCAGTTTGTTTCTATAATTCTTGTATTCAATTTCTGCTTCAATTGTTTTGGTGTTATTTCATGTTTTCTTAAGATAATCCCGATACTTTATAGAATCTATGAGTTTTGTGGTAATCCAAGGTTTAATATGTTTGCTCTTGTTTTTACCTAATGTGATTGTCTTAGTTGCCCTATCTGAGCATATAAAGGAATTCTTTTACTAACACTCTAATAATGCATTAGAAAATCGTAAGCACGTTTCTATTAGTTGAAACAAAACATTAAGAAATTCTGTGTTGAAATTGAAAATTGCTTAAACAAATACGTTACTTCATTTCAGTAATATGGATTTTCTCTTACCTCTGGTAGGTACCCTCTTGACAGCTTTATTTTGTACCTCCCTCCTATATATAAAACCCTGCGTTTTTCGAGCCAGTCTCTAATCCACAGCCCATCAGCATATTTTTTAAGTTGACAGTGGTAGCCAGTAGCTGTCAGTTTAGGATAGGTTCCGCAGACTATTTTGCTTCAGGCTGGCTATATACTAGGCATATATTCGTGATTTGCTTAGTGCGTTATAAGTAGGTAGTAATTCATAGAGATAGAGCATTCACAGTATGCGTATGTTCACAATTCCCTAGGCGCGATGCTTGATTTATTTACGTTCGTTTCGTAGTTCGCGGAAAGGACCACACACAACCTTATGGAAAATGGCTTTCCGTGAATTCTACTGATTTTTTGGTATGATGAACTTTTCAAAGTCCTGATCAAAAGTCTCCACGGGCACAACAAAAAATAATGGACAGTTTTTGAGGAAAAAATTGCTCAAAGTTGGAAAAATGGGGAATTTGATAGTGAAACGGGAGAAATAGGCCGTATTATTTTGGATATGGATATGATTTAATAGAAGATGATTCAATTAATATATACAGGGTGATACAGGGGGCAATAATGGAAGTCAATTGTATTACAGAATATGTACGAAAAAAACGTGTCGCAAGATTTATTTAAGAATAACACTTTGTGGAATTTCAATAAAACAAATAATATATATTGAAATGATAATTAATCGACAAAACACCATTAAAGAGTTTGTTGCACGAACTGAAGCGCATTCAGTCAATGATATGAGGTTCCAACTCATTTCAATTTCGATTTTCCGCATCGACAATGTAGTCTAACAAGTTTGTTAACGGAGACTTGACATTTGGTTCATGTCTGGCGTATCCAATGAACCAAAGGACACTTGATATATGAGCACATGTGCCCAGAGTTTTGGCACCTGCCTTATAAGTACAATAATAACCTGTTCATTTGTGTACCGTATCCACATTATATTTTTTGTGTCATTGGGATGACGGGAAAAAACTGCGAAACAAAGTAATCCAGGATATGGAAGTGAGGTATCGAAATTAAGTTCATTTGGTGCTTCCCTCTGATTTGAATCTTGTACCTAAGATGGAGCAAGTCTCAATTGATATGTACCGACAGCCTAGGAAAATAAGACAAATGATGATGGTTCAATGGTATCCATCTTTCCCGTCTCCTCCTGACATTTTCTTCCTCTATTATGTTCTGTACCCCATTCATCTGGTGAGATTTTTCCAGAATCAGTTTTGGGATAATTCTGCATCTGCTCCTCTCATTTCAATCACTGGGTTGTATTTGTTATTAATTGCTCCACCAAAAACAAGAAAGTCCCTCAAATGTTAAAGGTGATGGGTTGATATTGTGGTCGAAAAAACTTAAAGATTGATTCCATGTGTCCATTGCCCACTGGGTTTTGGTCACGAGGCGAGAGGCATCAGCCTCGTCAGTAGTAGGTTGTTGTCCATTTTGTACATTGCAGGATATTTTATGTGCAGTATCTAATTCTTCTGGAAGATTTTTATTTATTTATTTATGTATCTACATTTTCAATACTTTTGGAAAAATCTGTGTATATTACGTCCACTTGCCGTTTGTTTTCCAGAGAATTCAAGATATGCTGAGAATATAATAGCAAATTGGTGTTTGTTGATTTGCCTTGGGAAAACCCATGTTGCTCATCAATGACTATTTGCTTAAAGGGAAACTTCAAGCTGTCGCATATAATGTGTTCTAGTAGTTTGGGTATTGCGCTTAGTATGCTTATAGGTCTGTAATTTTTTATGTTTGCTCTGTCTCCGGACTTGAAAATTGGTGTAATGTAACTAGATTTCCACACAATGGGAAACTCTCCTAAACTAAGAGAAGCCGAAAAAAGTAACAACAGCGGTTTAGCCAATGCAAATCTACAATTTTTCTACAATAATGCTGAATGGCGTCTCTATAACCACGATCGACAAAAAAATGTCATCCTCAACAAATCTCAGTTTCTTATCTCATTAATGTTTCGCAAAGTTGACGCGTCGTTGTTTCTGGGGTCGGAGAAGTAAGGTCCTTGAATTAACTTAATATAACCGTTGGGAGCAACAATTATTGTTGCCTCCAATAAATGGTAATTTTTATGTCTGCAGTAAGACTGACGGAGTACTTTGAAATTCTTGCTTTTCTCCACTTCACAATAGGCCCCGATCTATTTATACAATGGCTTTACGCTGTTCAGGATTTCGATTATATATTTGTGAACTGATTGAAATTCCGTTGAATGTATTGTTCCCGAGTGATTGAACTGAAACCAATATTTTCTGGGACGAATCTTTGTGCAAGTGATCTTCTCACATTTGCAATTGCCATACTTGTGCATTGCCTTAAATGATATTTGAATATGACTTTCAAAAAGTCGTTGGAGAGCCCTTGTTTAAGTTTGAACAAAAAAGCCAGGAGATCTTTTTTATAAATATATATGTCGCCACCTTCTACTGGTACAGAATCGCTGTAGATATAGATATTGCGGAACTGATCCTTATTCATTGGAATGATCGATTTGAATTCTTTATCTGTGAAACTCTCTTCATCCTGGTAATCCCATTGTGGAATGTTCTGAACATTCCTGAGTTCTTGAAAGAAAACCACCAAATTCCTTTTTTTCATTTTACATGATCGAAAATTGAACTGCATCCCAGGAAGAATTTATCTCAGGAAAAAACCATTCTCATGCAAGACCCCAGCATTATCTCTGATATAAATGTCAGTGTTTTTGTTTTGAAAAACATTTTTGAAAACAAAAACACCGACTCAGTTTGAGGAACGTCCAGTCGTCTTTCCAAAGCAGTTATCTCTTCCATTACTGCCCTATTAAAATTCAGACACAGTCTTGTGAAGTTGTCAAAGGGAATATCTGGTAGTCCTGATTCTTCCCTTCGTTGATTAGCAATCTCCCGTTTTCGTCATTATTCACCCCATCTAATTTTGCCATTCGTTGTATATGGAAAATATTGTTGCATATGAAACATTTTGAAGCATTTTGAATAAAAGCCATCAGAAAGGTATGAAATGTAAAATAAACAGGCAAAAGATTCAAACTTTAGAAAAATCTTTTATTTACCATGTATACATTACATGACTACAGACATTACTAATTATATGTCATCGTGACAACCAATATACAACTGGTAACTTGATCAAAAAAACGTGATACCGGTTGAAATATTAGTTCAGTAGCGGATGAAGTAGATAAAACTATATGACAATTTAGGAATGCGATTATGGAATGGTTGGTTTAATTATACAGTGCATTTCTTTAATGTACCCCCCCTTTTATTTTTTGAACGGGTCAACTCAAAAAATTGAAATTTGGGTTAATGAAATTAATGCATGAATACTTTATTTTGAAGTGAAATTGACAGATGAAACTTTTAAGATGGCAATTATTAAAAGTTCCGTCATTTTGTAGTAGTTGAAGATATTGACATTATATTCTAGAGTTATGAAGCATCCGTCAGGAGCTTCAAAATGATGTGTCACAAGACCTCCCATTCCATTTAATTTTTTTCCCAGAAGGCGCTCAGTCGCCATCTTGAAAGTTTCATCTGTCAATTTCACTTCAAAATGAAGTATTCATGCATTAATATCATCGCCCCAAATTTCAATTTTTTGAGTTGACCGTTCAAAAAATAAAAGGGGGAAGGGATATAGCGCTATTTAAATCAATGCACTTTTGTCAATATAACACAAGTCGATTAATTCCGTCAGCATGAAGATTGGTGATTGGCATTCGATGAGGTCGACGAAGATCGTTTTTACCTGGTCCTGATTGGCGAAGGTTCTACCGGAGAGAAAGTTATCGAAGTGCCTGGAAATATCGTAGTCGGTTGGGGAGAAGTCTGGAAAGTATGGTGGGTGAGGCAGAACTTCGACGCTCAATTCGTTTTTCAGACGGTGATTTGTCAAACGTGTGTTGTCGTGGAGCAGGATCAGACCTTTTCTGTTGATCAATGCCGGCTGTTGTTGACGCAATTTTTGGTACATTTTGTGGTACGTCGTACATCCCGGCAAAAACAATTATGTAAAATTGACATAATATAATATGTGTTATGTAACATGTTAAGTTAACCTTACATCCCTGTTTTGGCGAAATGTCCGCCACAAATTCAACCTGATTTTTACGTAACATTAATGTCATTATTTTACGAATATTTTATATAATTTTGGTGGGTAAATATAAACAAATATAACAAACTGACATAAAAATATTACATAACATTCTCTAAACTTACATCCCTATGTAGAAACGTCAGCCACAAATATAACCTTATTTTGACATTACACTGATGAGACTACTTTAAATATATTTGAAAATACTATGAAAATACGAATGACTTCCTTACCACACCAATCCACTTCACACGTTTATGCACATTTCGATAATATTTTGGACGCAATCGCACAAGCTCGCAGAAAAACTTAGAATCATCAACTGGAAAAAGCATCCTTCTAACCAAAACTTTCTGACCGAACTCGGCCCTCACAGTTTACAATACTCATCAACAAAAACACAAATCCTAACGTATCGCGTGATAAGAATGTCTCAAAAACTCTAGCCTCTCCCACAGAACTTCACACAGACCAACATAAGAGTCAAGTGCGTCTGGATGTTACCAACCTGAAAACAGGAACGTAATATTGAAGGAAAAACTTTACGTGGGAGTTAAGTGAAATATTATTGACGTAAGTTTTTACGTAATAGCTACGACATATTTACATAAACTATTTATGTAAATATGGGGTTAAAATGTAATGGAGTATTTACGTAGATGTATAATATAAACATGTTCCGTTAATTTTGTGTAATATTTACGTAAATGTAACACGTGTGTTTGCTGGGATGGTTTTTTTTTGATGAGTTTTCGCCTTTGGGAAGAGCCTGTGTGGATGATAGGAGTCCAAACACTGTCCTGAACGTCTTTTGTTGTCGTAGAGGATCCACTTTTCATCACACTTGATGATCCGATCTAAAAAAGGATTGTTTTGGCTGCGCAAAAGCAAAGAAGAACATACCTCGAAACGTGAAAATTTCTGTCGATAGTTCAAATCGTAGAGCACTCACTTTTAAAGCTTTTTGACCTTTCCTATAGGTTTTAAACCATCAAAAACCGCATAGCAGCTGACGCCCAGTTCTTCTGCTATCCCACGCACCGTTTGTGATGGGTCAGTCCCTACCAGGGTTCTCAAATTGTCGTCCTGGATTACTGTAGGTCGACCACTTCAGGCTCAAATCTCCAGAACGTAATTCGCGAATCGGATTGAATGGCACGATGCCACATGCCTTGAACCCTGCAATAGAGTTGGCTTGAGATCTGAGACCAACAGACTCCACAGTCTCCTTAAGAAGCTTTGGAAATACAGTTTTGGGAAGCACTCCTCTATTTTTTAACTTCCATGTTTCTAATACCTTTTTCCATGCAGCCTTAAGAGGTCGAAGAAAGCTACATCTAGAGGTTGTAGCAGGTGTGTCGAGTTTGGTGGAAGGAGAACAAACCTAATATTGTTATTTTTGCATTCTCGTATTATGCCTACAGTGACGTGGCTACTTAAATTATCTCCGATCAGAACTTTATCTCCGTCTAGCTTTTTGAAGTGCGGCAAAGCAATAGAATAGAACCAGTCTTCAAAGATCGTGGAATCAAACCTCCCGCTGAGAGTGCGATTGTATCTGGCCCCTTCTATACCCCCTTCAGTCCATCCCACATACAAATGTTTTGCCTTATAGACAATGTATGGTGGAAGCATCGTGCCGTCCCCTGATATCGCAAATATGACCGTAGTGCTAGTTTTCGTGCTATCTATGGCCCTATGTGCATGTTTGGTGCCTTTTTTTAAAACTACTTTCACAGCACCGGGCTCATATACGAAATTCGTTTCGTCATAATTGATAATATTAGAATATGGAATATTCTTTATGACATTTTTTAAATTTCGGAAATAATCTTCCACTGACTCGTAGCTTAATGCTGCTCGAACTCGTTTCGTATTTTCTGCCAGTTTTATGGTAAGATTGGGATTTCGCTTCATAAAACCATTAAACCAATCTGTTCCAGGTAAATTCTCTATAAACCCTGGTTCTGTCAATCCACGCTTTGATAAATAATGCTTTACAATATGCTTGATGTCGATTGGCTTTAAGGGGAATTCCCAATTGGCGCAAAGTTGCAGGATTTCGGACAAAAGTCTTTCTTCGTTTGCATCTAGGGCGGGCGGCCTCCCATACTTCAGCTGATGTCGTCCGTGAAAGTGATCATTGAGTGTCGAGAAAGGGACGGCAAATTGTTCAGCGGCAACCCTCATTCACATTTTATCTTGCTTCACCGCCGCCACTGCCCTCTGAAGGAATAATTCGTCATAATTTTTCTTTCCCCGGGTACCAAACTTTTTCTCATAGTATCGAGGCATCTAAGAACAAATAAAAACAGAATTAATATAGACATAAAATGACTCTCTCACTAAACAGGGCATCGCCATATGTTTGGCAACACTGTACAGGTTGTTCTGTGTACCTTATTGTACTATACAATAAACATAACTTAAAATATTACTTCTTAAATTGAAAAGTAGGTAATAATAACATAGGTGTTTCTAAAACTGACAGTGATCGAAATTACCCCTCAACAATAGTTTTTTTTTTTAAACCTCCAATATAGTATTAAAAAATTAAATTATCGTGTTATTTTTGTTTATTCACATTCACAAATAACTTATGTTTTCCCATATTATTACGAAATCTATTCCTTCGCACAAGCTGTGAGTTGTGGAATCAATCGTTTTCGCATGTTTAAATTTTAGCCAATTTTCAATCTTCTATAAATACGTGTGCCTACATGTTCTTACCTTATATGTCACTGAGCGCTCTGCAGTTGATCACTACTAAAATCTCACTGAACCAGTGGACAGTTGTCCACTGATCAAGCACGCAGTGGAGTGCTTGATCGATTTTTCCCCGCATGATCGAAATTACCCCGTTTGACGGTACTCATCAACAAAAACGCAAATCCCAACGTATCGCGTGATAAGAATGTCTCAAAAACTCTAGCCTCTCCCACAGAACTTCACACAGACCAACATAACTCGAAAACTCAGAGAGATTCTCATTTCTCAAAGAGTCAAGTGCGTCTGGATGTTACCAACCTGAAAACAGGAACGTAATATTGAAGGAAAAACTTTACGTAGGAGTTAAGTGAAATATTATTGACGCAAGTTTTTACGTAATAGCTACGACATATTTACATAAACTATTTATGTAAATATGGGGTTAAAATGTAATGGAGTATTTACGTAGATGTATTATATAAACATGTTCCGTTAATTTTGTGTAATATTTACGTAAATTTAACACGTGTGTTTGCTGGGATGGTTTTTTTTTGATGAGTTTTCGCCTTTGGGAAGAGCCTGTGTGGATGATCGGTGTCCAACCACTGAACGTCTTTTGTTGTCGTAGAGGATCCACTTTTCATCACACGTGATGATCCGATCTAAAAAATGATTGTTTTGGCTGCGCAAAAGCAAAGAAGAACATACCTCGAAACGTGAACATTTCTGTCGATAGTTCAAATCGTAGAGAACTCACTTTTAGAGCTTTTTGACCTTTCCAATAGGTTTTAAACCATCAAAGATACGGAGCTACAAAAAATATGACATTAAAACGGACAAAACTTTTGAAATAATATAATACAACATCTTTGATTCTTTCGAGCAGATAATTTGACAAATAAATATCTTTTCCTCAAAGTACTTGTTGAAAAAAGAAGAAAATTATTCTACCTTTCCAAAAAATCAGAGCGGTCTTCATACGGTCTTAGTACATTGTGTTCTTCAAATTCATTTATAACTCATTTATAACTCGTATCTTGCTTTAGTAACCATTGTCAAAATATTGGAAAAAATAAATGAAATATACTTATATACTTAGATTCTCCTGCACTCCCTTATAATATCGAAGCTTTGTTTTTAATTAGTCAGCAGAGGCTATCATCTTTCATCCCTCTTTCTCTGGTCTGCGATGATGCTACTATGTGTACTAACAAATTTTGTAATTTATAATGACCTCCCCACAGGTGAGTCGTTTGTTCTTCACATAATGTCTTGATGAACATTATTCTTTTGACACATCGTAATGACTCAGACCGAAAATAAATTAAGGAAAGTTATGGAGTACGACTGAATGACAGTGACATAATTGTTTCAAGGTGATACATCGTTTTAAGGACCATGTTGACATAAATTATTCAATTTGTTCCATCAACACAAAGAGGAGTTTATTGGAGCGCAAGTGAAGCTCATTTAGGAAAGTTACCAAGACTAACCCAACAAGTAATAGTGTTTGAACGAGTAACGGGTGTTACAATTCACAATTATCATGAAATTGTGTTTCCTAATTTAATGAAGTAGAATTTTCATTCATTATTTGAATAAATGAAGACAAAAGTAAAATTTTATATCTTTGGGGAAAAAAACGTTATAACTATATGAATGTAATAGTGAGTCAGCGGATTCATATTTCTTCAAAAAAATAAATGTCTCAGAAACATTTGACACAATTTTATTTGAAAAATTTATTCGATAAACATTATTTGTATGGTGTTTGAGGACCCGACATTTTCTTTTTCAAATTTTATCACTTCTAGAAAATTCCACGTATCACAGCGGGTAATGAAAATGAACCTATACAGGGTGTTTATCAAAAATGCGGTAAAAAATTAAGGGACTATTTCTTGTGCTATTCTAAGGATATTTGATATTGATCATTGTTAGGTGTCATACAAGAATTTTCATATATGTTGAGTTTTTAATAACTAACATTAGTGTGTTGTGATGAAGTGTATGTTTTTGAAGCATAATTTGCCATCATTTACTCTTTCTCACTATATCATGACTAGCTTTTTGCCAGGATTTTTTTTGTTTTTCAAAACTTTAATGCATTTCCGGGATACTTACTTTACTTACTTACTTACTTACTTTACTTACTTATTTCACGGGATACTACTTATTCTTTGTCAATAACGTCTAACAACTACGAACTGTCCTACAAAATGTATACTCTGAGGGATCTCAGGAAAGGAAAAATGTACGATAATGTCCTGAAAAAAACATAATTCACTCAAAATTGAGTATTGTGAAGAAAAACAGTTCATTTCAATAGCAAATAATTACAAAGTGAATTATTTAATATCAGGAGCGCGATTGACTTTCATTATATTGGAAAGATGTGTTAAATTCACCTTTTTCTATGGGAATGTTATTAGAAAAACTTGAAACATGAAATATGAAATTTAAATTTAGACACCATTATTTTGAAAAAGTTATACAATGTCTCATCATCAGAAATAACACATTTAAGCAAACAATAAAACGAAATTTTAAAAGTAGGTACCCTATATGTTACTAAATTAAATAAGGTAGAGTATGAACATCTTGATATGGTATTTTCAGGTAAATTTGCCTGTATTTGTACTGCATCAGGTACTATTCTTTGTGTTAGATCTTCTCTAGGAATGTGTATGGTTTTGTTTAATATATTGACTGTGAGGTCTTGTTGTGTTCTGATTTTGATACTTGTTCCTCGATAAGTGATTTATGACTGTTAAATTTATGGATGTTCAAGTTTTCCCAAATGTTCATGCGGTGTCCCTTGTTGACTTGTTTTATGAGTTTTATGTTCTCTGGTGGTGGAAATTATGTTTGTTTTGTATGGCGTGTGTTGCGAGGTTTGATTAATATACTATTGGATTTATGTATGCCTTTTTGTGCTCATTGCACCTTTGGATCAGTTTTTTCTTGGTTTGGCCGATATAAAATTTGTTGCAGTCCAAGCATTGTATACTGTATATCCCGTTTTGGTCTTTGTCTTCTTCTTTTTCATAGTTGTTTATTTTTTGTGTTATCTTCGTGTTTGGCTTGTATGTGATGTTGATTTTCAGTGGTTTGAAGACGTTTGTTAGTTTTTTGGTTTGGTGTCCTACGTACGTAAATGCTGTCCATCGTAATGTTGTTTTGTCTGTTGGAACAGAACAAAGATCAAGCCACCCCAACAGACAAAACAACACAACGATGGACAGCATTTACGTACATAGGACACCAAACCAAAAAAATAACAAACGTCTTCAAACCACTGAAAATCAACATCAGATATGAGAGGTAATGTGATGGTGCTTCATTTTGCTGACACCATATAGTGTTCACTGGAACTTGATGGTTTCCTGTATCAGGATATAAATTTGCTGAACTAGGAACAACATCATTTTGAAGTAGTGCCAAATAATTATCGCCATTCAAGTCGCCCCCAATGAAAAAGGGACCAATGATATGGTTTTCTACAATAAGTGATTCTATCAAAATCGTCTTCCATGAGTTCCTGACTAGGTATAATTTTATAGGGATGCATTTTATTTTCTGTTAATATGTTTCTTATCGATGTATGGCTAACATTGAATGTATTGGAGCATCATCAAGCATCACATCTAATTTGAGTTCATCATTCATTGCATTGGCAGCTGCTTTTTTGTATCTGCCCCACATGACCAAACTCGCGAAACTACTTCTCTATTTTGCTTATTGTTCCTTGAGATATGGGCGGTAAATTAGAACATTTCTCATGAAATAGGCGAGCTACTTCCTGTTATGTTCGGGTTTTATCTCTTGTAAAACTATTATTTTATGCATTTCCGTTAATTTGCCAGACTTGAAGTTGACGAACTTTAAACTTAAATTAAAATACTGACAATTAATGCTGTAACATACAAGACAAGCTGAAAAGGTGTTTGAAACTAACATTAAGATGGAAATTATTTACAGTTTTTTAAAGGATACCATCTAAAAAAACATTGCTATGGTTTTTGCTCACCTTCTTATCATCAATACCTCAACATAAAATAAGTTTTGAGNCTTAGGTATTTAATTTTTGGCACCCAACTTTTGATTAGATAACTACCCTTATATGCTACGATTGTCAATCCCCTTTATAACTGATGTTGGACGTGAAATATGGTTTCTTTCTTTATGAAATTGTCATTTTCATAACCAAAATACTGAAAAAAATTCAATGCTATATACACTGCCTTCAAACTCGACTGTTTATGACTCGTGATGCACTGTTTGGAACCTTGATGTAGTAATGAATATTATTAAATCGTTATTTCAACACCTCGACATGTGTTTCGACCACCAAGTGATCATCTTCAAGAGGAAGATCAAATCAAACACACTTATAATGTTTTCCTTAATTATACCATATATACCTCTTCTAGGTAGGTACCTGCGTCTCAAGTGTCTTGAATTAATTTCACAATATTGCC